CGCCGCCCGCATTGCGACGCCGGCCCCGGAATACGAGGACCCGTCGCGTCGTGTCAGATCCAGCTCGGAGCCTTCCCCGCCGAGGCCGCCGACCAGAGCTTTTCCCCGCAAGAAATGGCGCCATTCGAGCGGGTTCTTGGGAAGACGCTTCTTCGCTAGGACCGCAGCAGGGGTCTGTGATGGAGAGCGCCTCCAATGAGGAGATGCTGCCCCCGGCGCTGCCTCTGGCGACGCTGATTGGCCGCGAGCTCCGCGGCGGCGGCTCCGAGCGCCCGCTCGTGCGGTACGGCCACTCCGGCTTCGCCAAGCGCGGCGAGGACTACTTCCTGGTCAAGCCCGACTGCCTCCGCGTCCCCGGCGACCCTTCCTCGGCCTTTTCCGTCTTCGCTGTACGCGCACTGTCTTATTCGCAGCCCCCCTTTTGTTTTTTCTCTCTCGGGTTCGGCCATGTGAGGGCGTGTTTGTTTCTCGGATCTGCTGACTGTAGGTGTTCGACGGTCACAATGGCGTGTCGGCGGCGGTGTTTAGCAAGGAGCACTTGCTCGACGATGTGATGAGCGCCGTGCCGCAAGGTATCAGCCGCGAGGACTGGCTGCAGGTGCTGCCGCGCGCGCTTGTGGCAGGCTTCGTAAAGACAGACATTGACTTCCAGCGCAAGGGTGAGACTCAGAGAGAGGCCATTGCAATGCCGTTATATTCCCCGGCGAATCTCATCACTAAGTTGTTGTTAACTCTGGGAATTGGTGCAGGGGAAATGTCAGGGACGACGGCGACGTTGGTCGTCATTGTTAGCGAACGTGTGTTCGTGCTGTCTGTACGTGCCTACTTTCTAGGACTAGCGCTGAGTTAGTTATCTGGCCAGCCGTGTATGTATAAAACCTGTGTAACCCAGATTGATGAATGTATGAGTGTTGCACGGCCTCTCTCTCTTCGCTCGCTTTGACTCCAGCATGGTATCAGTTTAATCCCGATCCGCACCTTCCGCTGCCCCACCTCTTTCCTACACTCCGCCGGCGCCATGAGCACCTCCTCGTCCGTCTCTTCCGCCGGCGACTCCTCCGATGACGAGCAGTTTGATCTTCCCGTGGCCACTCAAACCCTTCCCACCATTACGATCCAATCTCTCCGTATCCGAGACCATGTCCTCGTCATTCTCGATTACGAGAAGGAGAACTACGGCCTTTGGCGCCGCCAGTTTCTCGACGCCCTCGCCAAGTTCGGCCTCACCGACCACGTCGATGGCTCGCCGGCGCAGGCCACCTCCAATTGGGTCCTCAACGACTTCGCCATCCTCTCCTGGTACAACGCCACCGTGACTCCGTCGACCTTGGAGATCGTAGCGGAGCGCAAGGCCTCGGCCTACACCATCTGGCGCTCGATTCGCTCCCTCTTCCGCAGCAATCGGGATGCCCGGATCACATATCTCCTGGATGAGTTCCATAGCTTCATTCAAGGAGAGCTCTCGGTCGTGGACTACACCGCCAAGCTGAAGCAGATGGCGGATACCCTTCGGGACCTCGGCCACCGCATCAAGGATCGCGATCTTGTCCACAACGTCCTGCGCGGCCTCGACGAGCGCTTCCAGCACGCCGTCCCGCACATGACCAGCGGTCGCCGGCCCTCCTTCATCAAGCTGCGGGCCTTCCTCCAGTTGGAGGAGCAGCGCCTCGGCCGGCAGGCGCGCGTCGCCGCCCGCACCGCTCTGCTCGCCCAAGCCTCGGCGTACTACGCGGCTCGGCCTCCGACTCCTGCGCCTGTCCCCGCCTCCTTCACCCAGGCCCTGCTCGCCCCCAACACTCACGCCGTGGGCTCTTCTTCCGGCGGCGGCTCTTCAGGCCATCGCAACAACCGACAGAAGAAAAGGAAGCAGAATCCTTCCTCCGGCGCCAGCGGCTTCTCTTCAGGCGGGGGTCCCTCCGGTGGGTTTCCCGCGGGCGCGCGCCCTCCCACCACCGTGGCCGGCACCTTCCAGGGCATCCTTGGAGCTCGCCCGCCCGCTCCGGCTGTGCCTCAGGCTCATCACGCCACGACCGCGGCCACGCCCTCACCACACTGGGACCAAGCCGCCCTCATCGCTGCACTCAACCAGATGGCTCTGCATCCTCCTTCCGCGCCTGGTGGTGAATGGGTCTTCGACAGCGGCGCCTCGTCCCACATGAGCTCCGGTTCCGGTATAACCCACTCTCCTCCCAACCCCTCCTCCCCTTCTTCCATCGTCGTCGGCAATGGCTCCCTCCTGCCCATTACCGGTGTCGGTTCCACCTCTTTTCCCACCCCTACTCGCCCTCTCTCTCTTCTTGAAATCCTCATCTCTCCCTCTCTCATTAAAAATCTAATCTCTGTTCGTGCTTTTACTCGTGACAATTCTGTTTCAATCGAATTTGACCCCTATGGCTTTTCTATTAAGGATCTGGCCACCAAGACGGTGCTTCTCCGATGTGACTCCCCCGGCGATCTTTACACCTTCGCCCCGCCACGTCACTGCCTCACCGCCGCCGTCACCGCCGACTTGTGGCACCAGCGTCTCGGCCACCCCGGCGCCGCCGTCCTCGCCAAGGCCTCCGCTCATTTCGATTTTAGCTTCAATAAAACTTCGACGAGCAATTGCGATGCATGTCGTTTAGGCAAACATACAAGGCTCCCCTTTAGTTCTTCTTCTTCCCGCACCACTTTTCCTTTCGAACTTTGTCATTGTGATTTATGGACAAGCCCTCTGTTAAGTGTATCCGGATATCAATTTTATTTGGTCATTCTTGATGATTTCACACATTATACATGGACTTTTCCCATTCGTCGCAAATCTGAAGTTCATGGTCTTCTCGTTCAGTTTTATGCGTACGTTACGACGCAATTCTCTCGCCCTATCCTCGCCCTCCAAACCGACAACGGTCGTGAATTTGATAACCACGCAAATCGTGCGCTACTCGCCTCCCATGGCACCCTCTTTCGTCTAACCTGCCCTTACACTTCACAACAAAATGGGAAGGCCGAACGGATTCTACGCACCCTAAACGATGGTGTTCGCACCCTCCTCTTGCATGCGTCCATGCCTCCACACTGGTGGGCGGAAGCCCTAGCCACATCCACCTATCTACTCAACAGACGTCCATGTAAACCCAATCTTCGTACCACCCCACATGAGCTTCTCTTTGGGACCGTGCCTGACTTCCGTCACTTGCGTGTTTTTGGATGTCTCTGCTACCCTAACCTTCTAGCCACCGCACCCAACAAATTATCCCCTCGATCTGCCGCTTGCGTTTTTTTGGGCTATCCAGACGAGCGCAAAGGATATCGTTGTTACGATCCCCTCACCAGGCGCATTATTTTTTCCAGGCACGTCATCTTCGTTGAGTCTGTTTTTCCGTTTAAAACGATTCCAAACTTACCCAACGATTCACCTGGATCAGCTCCCGATCTTCCTCCCGTCGATTACGTCGATCCGCCTGCATGGGCGCCGCCCCCACCGGCCCCTCCTGGATCGCCATCTGTTTCCCCCATGCAGCCCACGACCACTCCCTCCACTCCTCCAGCTACGTCCCAGCAGCCCACGATTCCCTCGCCTCCTGGCCCACCATCACCACCAGCCGGTCCATCCTCATCTCCCGATCCCTCCAACCATCCCACACCACCTCTTCCTCGCATGCACCCAACTGCTCATGCGTCACACCCGATGTTAACGCGTGCAAAACACGGAATTTTCCAACCAAACCCGCGTTACGCTAATCTGCATGCTTCAGTTGTCTCGCCACTTCCCACATCTGTTCGCTCTGCTCTCCAAGACCCAAACTGGCGTGCCGCGATGCAGTCCGAGTACGATGCTCTCATCGCAAACTCGACATGGACTCTCGTCCCTCGTCCCCCCGGCACTAACGTTGTCAGCGGCAAATGGGTTTTCCGACACAAAACGAACGCCGACGGCTCCCTCGCACGCTACAAAGCCCGATGGGTCGTTCGTGGCTTCGCTCAGCGCCCCGGCATTGATTTTGGGGAGACCTTCTCTCCGGTGGTCAAGCCGGCCACGATTCGGACGGTGCTCTCTTTGGCGTGCTCCCGGGGCTGGCCCGTGCACCAGCTTGACGTCAAGAACGCTTTTCTTCATGGCGTTCTCGACGAACAGGTCTACTGCCACCAACCAGCCGGTTTCGTCGACGAGGCTCGTCGCGATCATGTGTGTCGTCTCTCCAAGTCTTTGTATGGCCTCAAACAGGCCCCCAGAGCTTGGTTCCACCGCTTCGCCACCTTCGCCGCCACCATCGGGTTCGCCGCCTCGCGCTCCGACGCCTCGCTGTTCATCCTACGGCGGGGCAACGACGCCGCGTACCTACTCCTATACGTCGACGACATCGTCCTCGCAGCTTCCTCGACGACTCTCCTTTGCGTCATCATCGATCAGCTCCGTCGCGAGTTCGCGATGACGGAAATGGGCGCCCTCCACTACTTCCTCGGCATCCGCGTCCAGCGCACCTCGCGTGGGTTCTACCTCGACCAGACCCAGTACGCTGAGGAGTTGCTTCAGCGCGCCGGCATGTCACAGTGCCATCCGGTCTCCACTCCAGTCGACACGTCGCCCAAGGTCGCTGCCGACGCCGGCTCTCCTGTGCTGGATCCCTCTGAGTATCGCAGCCTCGCTGGTGGGTTGCAATACCTCACGATGACTCGCCCGGACCTCGCATATGCCGTCCAACAGGCATGCCTGCACATGCACGATCCTCGGGACAGCCATCTCGCCATCGTCAAGCGCATTCTGCGCTACGTCCGCGGCACCACCACCCACGGTCTTCTTCTTCCGATCTCCATGTCTACTGAGATCATCGCGTATTCTGACGCGGACTGGGCTGGTTGCCCCGACACTCGCCGCTCGACCTCCGGCTATTGCGTTTACCTAGGCGATACGCTTGTCAGCTGGTCCTCCAAGCGCCAAGCCATCGTCTCTCGGTCCAGCGCAGAAGCGGAGTATCGCGCCGTTGCTAACGCTGTTGCAGACTGCGTTTGGCTACGACAGCTCCTCGGTGAGCTCGGCTGCTCTTCCTCACAGGCTACCATCGTGTTCTGCGACAACGTATCGGCTGTGTATATGTCCACCAACCCAGTTCATCACCGGCGGACCAAACACATCGAGCTTGATATCCACTTTGTCAGAGAGAAGGTGGCCCTCGGCGAGTTTCGCATCGTACATGTCCCGACTACTCAACAGCTAGCGGACATCATGACCAAGGGATTGCCAACATCCGTCTTTCAGACTTTCCGGTCCAGTCTGTGTGTACTGCCACGCAGCGACGACACGACTGCGGCGGGGTGTTAGCGAACGTGTGTTCGTGCTGTCTGTACGTGCCTACTTTCTAGGACTAGCGCTGAGTTAGTTATCTGGCCAGCCGTGTATGTATAAAACCTGTGTAACCCAGATTGATGAATGTATGAGTGTTGCACGGCCTCTCTCTCTTCGCTCGCTTTGACTCCAGCAGTCATTGATGGGTTCACCGTGACTGTGGCGTCAGTCGGAGACTCCAGGTGCATCCTTGACACTCAAGGTGGTGTGGTCTCTCTGCTAACCGTGGACCACAGGCTAGAGGAGAATGCAGAGGAGCGGGAGCGTGTCACGGCGAGTGGAGGGGAGGTCAGCCGGCTGAACCTCTGCGGTGGACAGCAGGTAGCTCTCTACCGGGAACAGCTTGGGGATACAACTGCATGTTTGGATATGAACTTTGGGGTAAATCGTTCTGCTTATTTTTGTATAGGTTGGCCCTCTCCGATGCTGGCCAGGTGGACTGTGCCTTTCAAGATCAATTGGGGATACCGATGTTGGGGAGTTCATCGTGCCAATTCCACATGTCAAGCAAGTGAAGGTGAATTTGGAAGTTTGCTCAAATGCCATGAGCGTAGCTTATTCTAGTGTATCTTGACTAACATGTGTGTTTTGGGTTTGCCATAGCTCTCTAGTGCTGGAGGAAGGCTAATAATTGCATCAGATGGAATATGGGATGCAGTGTCCTCAGAGATTGCAGCGCAGGCGTGCAGAGGCTTGCCTGCAGAATTGGCCGCAAAGCTTGTTGTTAAGGTCAGTATGCATTTAGCTGCAGTTGTTAAGTTGTCCATACTTTCTATGGTGTGCTTGATTGTCTTGACAATCTAAGTGAGATCAATTTTGCTTGTACAGCAAGCTCTAAAGACAACTGGATTGAAAGATGATACAACTTGTGTAGTTGTTGATATCATCCCATCTGATCATTGTTCAACACCACCACCGTCGTCTCCAAAGCAAAATCAGAACAAGTTGAGGTCTCTTCTTTTTGGTAGGAGGTCCCATAGCTCTGTTGGAAAGCTTGGTAACAAAAAAAAGTCTGCTTCATTTGGATTTGTGGAGGAATTATTTGAAGAAGGCTCTGCATTGTTGGAAGAAAGGCATGTTCTTATTTTTCTCTTACAGTTCATATTGTTGAATATACTATGCATATCAGTAAAGTACATGGTTTTTAGTCGTGCATTTATTTGTCATATGTGAATTTTGTGTTTGTCATTGGATCATTTCCTTTTGCTTCACTTTTATCTCCTTATCCCTGGTTTAGTTTGATGATATACAATACATCTTTGGGATGGTGAAGAAGAAGTGGTTGTATCCACCCCCTAACTGAACATTTCTGGATTAGCACTGGTAGTCTTTTTTTGTGCGTCAGTTGTTCAATCTCATCTGTAGCTATTTAATGTTTCATGAAAAGCAGTAAAGCAACATTGCACAAGCTTCTCCATGAATTGGTCTTATGTGCCATGTCCTGGGTACCAGATATGCCTTTATTTTGGTGCTGTTGAATTACTGGACCTATTTTTCCACTCTCTTGGTTAGGTGCATATAGCTGGTGTACATGCCAGATATGTATTCACACTCACGGTGACAGTTTTCTGTTCTTTGTGGTGGCATTGTCCATTTCTCTTGGGGTGGCATTGTCCTTGAGGCATTGCTTAAATATGCCGTCTAGTTGAAAATTAGAATGTAGACCAAGGTCAAAAGAGCCAAGTAATACACGAAAAATATTTTGCTCGGCACATTCTGACTGGAGATGGACAACCAAAATTTTGAGATGACTTCTAGTTGTGTACTCATTTGTTGAGTTGTTGTGCTTCTTCCAGTAACGGAACATAGGTAATGTAATAGAATATCACCTTTGTTAGTTTGCATTTCTCATACTTCTGTAGACTAGTAGGTGGTCTGGAAAGATAGGATTCTTATCTTGTATGCCACTACAGCGCAAGAATGGTTAGCACTGGAATGAACAAACTGCATCTTCCGCTAGGAGCATCTCACTTTGCCTCTTCCATATACAATTTGCTGTATAATAAATAAATAGCCTCAGTCATTACATGCTTCTCTTATCAGTTTGTCCACTTGGCTGTTGAGATATATTGCTGATTGACATTTTGTTTGTTTGAGGAATGCCATCTGGTATTTTACTTCACCGTGTTCATCTTAGGCCTTTTGACAGCATACTAACATCTTGTCACCTAGTTTTTGCAGGTTGGGTAGAAATTGCCTGTCAAAAGCAAATTTGCCCCCATTTCGCTGTGCGATCTGTCAAGTAGACCAAGTGCCATTCGAAGATTTAGTAACAGATAGTGGGGAAGGTTACTGCTCTGCCCCGTCAACACCATCGACCGCTCCTTATCTTTGTTCTGGCTGTAGAAAAAAGAAGGATGCAATGGAAGGTAAAAGATCTAGTCGCTCGACTGCATGCACTTGAAAGTACCAATATGACTGAATGATCCTTGTCCATGAGAACTAGTATCCTGGTTCAGTTTTCTGCTCTATGTAAGAGAGGAGAGAATAAACTGTTTGTCACTGGATCGAAGAATTATTTGGGCGAAACTAACTGTGTTCTGGCCTGAACTGAACAAATTGGGCCACTAACAAGCCTGTTGTCTATCAAGAGCGCTGATGAAAATTCCATTTGCTCTGAGAAGATGGCTCCCCGAAATTCAGCACTAGGTTTTTCTCTGTACCTTAGCCTGTAAAGTGAAATGACTAGCTTAAAAATGTTTCAGGAAGCAACGGCAAGGCTCCTCGTTGCTGCTTTGAAATGTACGTACCTTGTATGGAACCGAACTGACTAGTGTTTGATGCTATCCTTGTCGAAGCTACTACTGCATTCTGGGTTGGTTTTTGTTGCGCTTGTCATATAATTTCACTACTAAATCTGATCAGCGGGGAGACAGTGGCGCAACTTGTCTGGCGGTAAGATGAAACTCTTGACTGGAGATTGATTGATCTCATAACCCAAATGGTGTACAACTGTTTTCCTGCTGTGTTCTGATGACACTGCATCCTCTGACATTTAGGCACGTACAATGGCCTCCATGTTTAAAATAGAGAAGGCAAGTTAGAGAGATGATACTGTTCACATATTAATGTATACCAACTTCCCTTGATAAGTCAGAGGATCTCGTTCCCACTGCAAGGTAAGGTATTGGCATATGATAGATTGCTTTCTTCCTTTTTGTTGAAAAGTTGCTCCTGGCCTTGAGCGCTGAAGCATCCAAATATCGCCATGTTAATTAATAGAGCTGCCGCTGCCAGCTATGCCCATGTCAGCAAAAGATTACAGGCTTACTTCCTTGAGCTGTTTTTTTTTCAAACCTAGTTCCTTCGGCTTTTCCTTTTGAGCAAATAAGAGCAACTCCAACGGGCCGACCCAAACGGACGGCGCATTTGTCCGCTTTTTGTCCGTTTGGGTCGGCCGCCCGCCCGTCGTCCGCCCTCTTTTACATTTGGGGCGGCAGCGCGCACAACGCACCGACCCATTTCATGCCCGCATTCAACTTTTAAATAAAAAGGGCCCGCGGCCGATCATGCCAGCGGCCGTGTCTCATGCCCGCACCATGTCAGCGCCGGCGTACAATGCCGGCTTATACGCCGGCTTTAGAAAATATCACCACAGTTCATGCTGACGCACTCGCCAACCGGCCGGCACACATGCCAGCACAAAAAAAAGGGGGGACTTGAGTTCGACCACGCCATCTCGGCTCCCATGGTCATGCCGGCATACCTGCCGGCATACAAAAAAGGTGGCCCTCGCCGCCATAGATCACTCGTCGGCGAACTTGAGCATGTCGGCCTGCATCTTCTCGAACCACGGCCTCTTCCTTGGCGACACGGTGTTGAGATCCATCTTCATGATCTCCACCCCGGTCATCATGCTCGCAAGAGCCACTTCTTTCGCCTTGGTCTTGGCGTTGGCGGCCTCGATCTCTAGCATCCTCGCTTGCTTCTCCGCCTCGAGCTCGAACATCTTGGCTTGCTTCTCGTCGTCAAGATCAAGCCTCCTCCTTTGGATCTCCATGAAAGCATTCATTTGCTTCGCCTTGAAATGACGGCGCTCCTCCTCCCTTGAGTCCTTCTTATTCATCATGCCGTCCACGCTTGCGATCAAGGCGTTGGTGGCCGCATCTCGCTTGTCCTCCTTCTTGGAGTTGGTCTTCCCCCGCGGCCGTGCCGGCTCACCCTCCCCAACGTCCTCCACAGCTTTCTTCCCCCCACGTGCCTTGAGTGCGGCATATTGTGCCTTGAACTTTTCTTCGTCCTTGATGACCCGATAGCAATGGGAGAGGTTGAAGCACTTGCCATTGTGTTGAACCTTGAATGCCTCCAAAGCTTGAAATGCCTACAAAATGTTTCCATGCAAGCATATGGGCAAGTGATAGCAAGGATGATCTTGATGACACAAAAGAGGGTGGCTTGCTTGCCATCATACCATGTCTTGCATGCCGATGCCGCTCATGGGGCGGGCCTTGACGCTTTCAAGGGTGGCGCAAAACTTGTTGCACTCTTGTTGGATCACCCTCCACCGCTTGGAAATGGAGACCCACCCGCGCGTGCTCACAAATTGGTAAGGTGAAAACTTCTTGCGCTCATGGAACTCTCGGTGCACACGAGTCCAAAAGGTCGAATGCTTTTGCTCGGCGCCCGTCTTCGGGTCTTGTCCAATGTCTCACCAACACTCGTAAAGAAGCTTGTCTTCGGCCGTCATGTACGCCTTCGTACGCTTGCTCTTGCGCTTGGGCTTAGGACCGGCGGCTTGGTTGGCAAGCTCGTCCTCGAACAAAGGCTCCACGTCGATGTCGCACTCGTCCTCTTCCTCTAGCCCGTAGTCGTCCGGGAACTCGTGGTTGAGGGGGAAGCCGTCCAGGTCGACGCCGACCTGATCACGCATGAAGGTCGCCTGGTCGGGATCATAGCCAGCGGCCGGCGTGAACGCCCCGCGACCGTCTTGGCTTTGTGTCTCGTCGGGATCATGGCCAGCGCCTGGCGCACCATCCTCGAAGATGAGGTTTTGCATGAAGTCCTCATCGATGGCGGACGACATTCCCTCGAACAGGTTACGGGCGTCTGGGAGCCCGCCGGCCGGCGTCTGCAGCGCGCGTTTCCTCGTGCCGCCGGACGACGAGCCACCAACCACTGGGGTGGCGTTGAGGTCGATGGGCGCTGGCGCAGGCGTGGAAGGCGCGACCACGCTCACGTCGGGTGAGCACTCCCCGAAGAGGCGGGAGGCCTGCGGGTAGACGTGGAAGCCGGGGACCGGGTTGCAAGCCGAGCGCGGGGTGACTCGGGCAGCACCATCCGAGGAAACGCCGACGATCCAGTGCTGGCCGCGATGACGGCGGCTTGGACGAGGTTGTGCTGGCTAGGGTTTACCCCTAGCATGTAGAGCGCCTCCCTCGTTGCCGCCGCGACACGGGCATTGGTGAACTCCTGCTGCGCGGCGGTGACGGTGGCGGCCTGCGCGGCGGCCTCATCCCTCGCGTCCGTGGCGTGCCTCCGGCCCTTCCTCTTGGCCGACTCCCTTGCCCGCTGTTCGGGCGTCAGCGCCTTCTTCAGCTTGCTGGGGTCTTGCACGGGGCACGAGGCTTGCCTTTCCTGAAGGGGGCGACGGCGCCGGACGAGGCGAGGGAGGCGAGGCCGGCGGCGGCGTCGAGGTCGAGGTCGAGGTCGATAGCGTCGTCCATGGTTGGCCGGGAGCGAGCGCGTGCGGGCGGGAGTGTTTCTGGGGAAAATGGGGGAAAATGGTGATGGCTGCCACCGACCGGCGGGCTCGGGGAGAAGAGTAGGCGCACACGCGCATCCGTCTTGTGTCCGCGCCGACGCAAATCCGGCTCAAAATTGGGCCGGGAATGGGTCGCCCGCGGACAAAAAACGGACGCGCGTCCGTTTGGGTCGGCGCGTTGGGCCGCCACTTTTGTCCCTGCCAACCCAAACGGACGCGGGCGGACAAAATGGGTCGCCCCCATTGGATTTGCTCTAAAGAGCTGTAATCTAAACAGGGAAGTCCCCCTATTCGGCACCAGGCACCGGTGACAGTACAAACCACACCCCGCCTCTATCCAAGTGTAATCGGTCCCTCCAAAAGGAAATTTTTGGAGACACCAGAGTTGAACCTTCTACTCCCTCTGTCCAAAAAAGCTTGTCCCAAATTTGTTCCTCAAATGGATGTAAATAGCACTGACTTGGTGCTAGATATAAAGGATGTACAATCTTAATTCTCGGTCATACCGGATGGAACTCACTCGGTGGAACCGAAATATCCAATCATGCCAGTCAGACAGTAGCAGATCTAGCCCAATGAGTCAGGGTGGACTAACAATAGAACTGTTCATATAAATATATATTTTTATATTTTTTTACATTTTTCCTATGCTATAAAGCTATTCAAAAAAAATCCCAGGGTGGCCCACCCTGTCCACCCTCTACCTCCGCCACTGCAGTCAGACCGATAAAAACTGCTCAGTCATACCGAATCATGTACCTTGTCACTGACTAGCCATCAGAAAATCCGATTGATTCTGCTCGGAGACACCGAACTGCACATATAAGAGAAAGTTTGCCAAATGTTTTCTATTGAATTATACTTTCCCAGCTTTACTCAATGACCCTCTATTACAAACTCCAAATTACCATGATGCTTCTAGTGCAAATTTATGATCCTTACCATTTGACATATACAAACAAGAGGACTTAACCCTTCTTGGAAATTGATGTCAAAGGAAAAGAGATATGCACGTCAAAGCTTATATCTAAAGGGGAGAGAGCTTATCTATTAAAAGTGAAGGGACCAAGGCGAGGAGAGAACCCTAGCCGCCGCCACCACATCCAGAATAGAAGAGGAAGAGATTCGAAGAACCTTCGAAGATCTTCTTAGTTTTGGTCCTTCCATCTCCATCATCATCTCATCCTTCAGTATTGTAAGAGAAATCACGAGTTGTGAGAACAAGTTGTAACTCTATTGATTCTCATCTAGAGATCAAGACTATTTGAGTTATCAATTTCATCTTATTGTGGATCTTCACAGTATTATCGATATGGTTTTCATGGGTTTAATCTCTGGTGTGAATGGTTTTCTCTCTTATGATGTGTGAGTAACCCCCCCTAGGCGTGGGAGATGTAAGTGAGTGGTAAGATTCATTTGTGCCTGATCTATATGTCGTGATTTGTATTTGCAGTATTGTGATTTGTCTAGTAAGTTGTTATATAGTGGTGAACCATATGCGTGTTGTGCAATTTAAGGGCCCAGGCAACACGATCTCAAGAAATACATAGGTAACGCATATTGTTTAGGGAATATGTGACCTCTAACATGACAGGTGGAGATATCTATGAGGACCGAAGACAATATGAGATAACGGTGATCCACGAAACTTAATGCTTGGTTCCGGGTCCGAGGACCATAATTGTGAAGACGACCACTCTGGG